TGCATCTTCTGTGACATTTATCATGGATGTGCTCTCCTCTGGAACCCTGTCGGGCATCCGTCAGATTTTGTGGCATCTATGTGTTTTTATGACATCCACGTGGCGTCTTTCATGTTCTGGAACATTCCAGAGTTTGTCTGGGACCTTGTCTTGTACAGTTTCTGTGACACCTGTTCACTGAAACACATGAATAAGTCCATTTGAGGATTTACCTGCGCCAGCAGCTTTTCCAGCACTTTAATCATCAAAATCTCAGACAACACTGTTATATTAGGACTCATGAACAAGGACACAGACACTACCGAATACAATCTGCAGGTGGAGCATTTTGTACACTGGTGTGAGGACCACCATCTCATCATCAATATTAAGAAGACAGAAGAAATCATCTTTGACCCGGGACATCTTGGAAACCCCACTCCAAGATGTGGAGTGTGGTTTCCTCTGAGCCGTAACACAGGTACACTCATATAAATACCTGGTAGTCCACATCGACTCAAGTCTGGTCTGGGATGTCCACGTGAACTCTGTCTGCAGCAGGGTTCAACAAAGACTCTATTTCCTGCGGAGATTAAGACTTTTTGGAGTCGAACAGAAAATGATGAGGCTATTTTATCATGCTGTAATTGAGAGTGTAATAAGATATGGTATGTGTGTGTGGTTAACCCTAACCCTAACCCTGTGAATTTGACTGTTAAAACAAAAGCAGAACTTTACAGATTAGTGCGCACAGCACTTAAGGTCATGGGAGTTAGAGATCATCCATCTCTGCAGCAGATATTTGAAGAGACTGTTATTAGAAAATCACCTCAGACCCTTCCCATGTCCTCCACTCTCAATATGAGCTCCTCCCATCAGGCCGCCGCTACAGAGTACCAACTAGAAATAGGAAACGATATCTAAACCGGGGCGACAGTAGCTCAGTTGGTAAAGCATTGGCCTTAAGGCCAGAAGGTCGTGGGTTTAATACCCACCTCTGCAACCACCTCTTCTCCACCGACTCCCACTGATGACTGCTGTCGTTGTGTCCTTGGGCAAGACACTTAACCCCACTTTGCCCAAAGCCCCCACTGAAAGATCCAGGCTATGCTCTCACTCAGAGAGCAGCTGTCCTCCTGTGGACTCACCACCTGCAGAGGGTCAGTGAGGGGCTGGTGCTATGAGACTTGGGTGGCATCTCTGACTGCCACCCCCCTGACCCAGAAATGGATTAAAGGGTAGAAAATGGATGGATGGATGGATCTAAACCGGTATAAGAACTCATTCCCATATCTGTGAACCTCCTGAATGCAGACCATCGAGCAGAACGGAGATGGTTTATGTCTGTGTTACTGTGTTGTGTTTTATGTCTGTCTTATGTGTTTTTTCAATGTAGCAGTTGTGAGTCCAAGACAAATTTCCTACGGGACATAATAAATTAATCTTGAATCTTGAACCTTTATTGAACATGAACACATGCTACAACCCTCCTCCTCCACTCCGTCTCTCCACTGCCTCACACTGCCCTGATCACTTTTGTCTGTCTCACATCTGGTTTGTGACATCTGGCACATTTGACATTTGTGTTCTTCAGTCCGGCCTTTTGGGCATCTGGTCTTGCATCTGACTTTTTACTGGCATCTTGTTAAGTCTCTATTGTAAACCCAGGTCTTAGAGCTGGTCTTCTGTGACACACAAAACTGCCCATATGTTGATTTACCTGTATTTGATAAGAACACATGGTTGAACCCTCCTCCTCCACTCCATCTCTCCACTGTCTCACATGGTTCTGGCCATTTCTGTCGGTAGCCTTATGGTTTTTGACAGATCTGGTTTTCTCTCTGGCGTATTCATGACCTCTGCCATGTCAGATGTGTGGCATCTGTTCTGTTATAGATGTTTCTGTGACACCTGGTCACTGCTGTCTGTCTTGAAGAAGACAACAATGCAGTGAAGTGGGAGGAGGGACACATGAAATGTTCATATGATATTTACCAGTATTTGATGTGAACACATGGTATACCCTCCTCCTCCACTCTGTCCCTCCACTGTCTGCATCATATGTTCCACACACTGGAGAATAACACACACATGAATTCATTGCACTTCATCACACACAGATACAACTGTAAGCCACACCTACACGGAATATTCTGTGTTTGTTACTTTTTAGTGTTTTTCTACATAAAAACAAAGCATTATTGTAAAATAATGTGATAATAACGTTACTTAACCTTATACTCACACTTTTGTCCTTATCCCTGTTTTTAAGCCCAAAGAGAAAACATGGAGGGAAGAAACCTGTGAATCAAAGCTATACCACAAACATTAAAGGCAGTAAATGAAATCTCAACAATAAACAAACTATTTACACATTTTATAAGTTAATTTGGCTCATGTTGTTGCATTGTCAGCGGCTACAGCTCAGCGGTGGCACCTGATGAGGCACCTTCTGTTAAACGGCCGCCTTTTGGCATCTGCTGTGGTATATTGTCTGACATGTTCTGTCTCACCGCTCTGGTCACTGCTGTGTCCTATGAATAAGACCACAATGCATTGCAGTCAGGCACACTTCAGGGACAAATGAAATGTTGATAAAATGATTTACCTGTATTTGGTTTGAACACGTGTGCATAACCCTCCTCCTCCACTGTCTGAAGTCATCTGTTCCACACAAACTCTGTGCGACACCTGCAGTGTGTATTTATTTGTGTAAAGTTGTGTAAAGTAATGTGACTATAACTGTTTAACCTGTGCTCACCAGTCGTGTCCTTGTTCCTCTTTTTACTCACAAAGAGCAAACCTGTGAATCAAGCTACACCACAAACATTAGAGGAAAAACATTACATTTCCACACCGGAGTGTGCAGAGAATATTTAGTTTTGGAGTTTTTTTTTTTTTGAGAATCAAAACAGGATCCAACAATGCAGAACACAACAAATAAAACAGAAACAAACTTAACATATATTAAAAAAGGATCAAACAAGGATCCAGTAAAAACATCTGCTTGACATCTTTCATGTTCTGGAACATCCCAGAGTTTTTCTGGGACCTTGTTTAGTACAGTTTCTGTGACACCTGTTCACTGCTGTGTCCTATGTTCTGAAAAGCTCAACAATAATATGAAGTGAGAGGATGAACACATGAATAAGTCAATTTGAGGATTTACCTTTATTGAACATGAACACATGCTACAACCCTCCTCCTCCACTCCGTCTCTCCACTGCCTCACACTGCCCTGATCACTTTTGTCTGTCTCACAGCTGGTTTGTGGCATCTGGCACATTTGACATTTGTGTTCTTCAGTCCGGCCTTTTGGGTATCTGGTCTTGCATCTGACTTTTTACTGGCATCTTGTTAAGTGTCTATTGTAAACCCAGGTCTTAGAGCTGGTCTTCTGTGACACACAAAACTGCCCATATGTTGATTTACCTGTATTTGATAAGATCACATGGTTGAACCCTCCTCCTCCACTCCATCTCTCCACTGTCTCACATGGTTCTGGCCATTTCTGTTGGTATCACAGCTGCTTTATGGTTTTTGACACATCTGGTTTTCTCTCTGGCGTATTCATGACCTCTGCCATGTCAGATGTGTGGCATCTGTTCTGTTATAGATGTTTCTGTGACACCTGGTCACTGCTGTCTGTCTTGAAGAAGACAACAATGCAGTGAAGTAGGAGGACGGACACATGAAATGTTCATATGATATTTACCAGTATTTGATGTGAACACATGGTATACCCTCCTCCTCCACTCTGTCCCTCCACTGTCTGCATCATATGTTCCACACACTGGAGAATAACACACACATGAATTCACTGCACTTCATCACACACAGATACAACTGTAAGCCACACCTACACGGAATATTCTGTGTTTGTTACTTTCTAATGTTTTTCTACATCTCCTTTTATCTAAAAACAAAGCATTATTGTAAAATAATGTGATAATAACGTTTGTTTTTAAGCCCAAAGAGAAAACATGGAGGGAAGAAACCTGTGAATCAAAGCTATACCACAAACATTAAAGGCAGTAAATGAAATCCCAACATATAAACAAATGTATATATATAAACTATTTACACATTTTATAAGTTAATTTAGCTCATGTTGTTGCATTGTCAGCGGCTACAGCTCAGCGGTGGCACCTGATGCGACACCTTCTGTTAAACGGCCGCCTTTTGGCATCTGCTGTGGTATATTGTCTGACATGTTCTGTCTCACCGCTCTGGTCACTGCTGTGTCCTATAAATAAGACCACAATGCATTGCAATGAGGCACACTTCAGGGACAAATGAAATGTTGAAACAATGATTTACCTGTATTTGGTTTGAACACGTGTGCATAACCCTCCTCCTCCACTGTCTGAAGTCATCTGTTCCACACAAACTCTGTGCGACACCTGCAGTGTGTATTTATTTGTGTAAAGTTGTGTAAAGTAATGTGACTATAACTGTTTAACCTGTGCTCACCAGTCGTGTCCTTGTTCCTCTTTTTACTCACAAAGAGCAAACCTGTGAATCAGGCTACACCACAAACATTAGAGGAAAAACATTACATTTCCACACCGGAGTGTGCAGAGAATATTTAGTTTTGGAGTTTTTTTTTTTTTTTAAGAATCCAAACAGGATTCAACAATGCAGAACACAACAAATAAAACAGAAACAAACTTAACGTATATTAACAAAGGATCAAACAAGGATCCAGTAAAAGAGTAACTGTTTAAAAGGATCAAACATGGATCCGACAAAATATAAAGGTAACAAACGTTGAAAGGGATCAAACGTGATCCAACTATGAACATATATTAACAAAGTGAAACGTCACCAACATATTTACAAAGTGAAACGTCACCAACAGTAGAACAGGGTCTTGTGAATCCCAGCTCCTCTCTGCTCCTTCAAACAAACAAAGCAGAGAGCGCATCAGTTCTTAACAATGGGAAGAAGACCTGTGTTTTTTGGCTGGATGTTTGCTCTCCGCCTCACATGACCTTTTGTGTTTGTGCTGATGGGCCTCCTTAGACACGGGCCGGTCCGAGGAAGGTCTCGGGATGGGGGGGGGCAGGCTCCGACTGTGGGACAACAGGAGCAGGGTTAGCTTTAGCGAGAGGAGGGGTCTTAGGCTTAGAGGAAAGAGTGCGTCTGGGAACTTTGGGGACGCACGGAGGAGCGAACCAAGAGTCAGTCAGAGAGGTGAGCTGGAGACGCCCGGGAGGAGGAGGGGCAGGGCGAGGAGGAGGAAGAGCAGAGCGAGGAGGAGGAGCAGAGGTGCGCTGAGGAGGAGTAGAGTAAGCAGAAGGAGGAGGGTGAGAGAGGAGCCTGCCAGGATGCACAGTGCGGAGCCAAGAAACAGGAACCAGGCGCGGAACAGCAGGAGCAGAGTAAGGCTTAGGGAGCTTAGTAGCAGAGCGAGACTTAGACCTAACCTTAGCCTTGGCCTTTGCCTTAGCCTTGGACTTAGCCTTGGCCTTAGTCTTAGCAGGAGGAGGAGAAGGAGGAGGAGGGGGAGGAGGAGGAACAGAGGGGCGAGGGGGGAGAGAGGAAGAGGAGTACAGAGAGATTCTCCCGGACAGAGAAAAACTGGCAGAGGAGCCAGGCATCGTGAGAGTGAGTGAGGACTTAGCTACAGAGCAGAGTCCTGTGCACAAGGTCTGGGTCTAGAGGTGGGGGTCTGGAGGTCTGGAGGTCTTGGGGTCTGGGTCTAGAGGTCTGGGGGTCTGGGGGTCTGGAGGTCTGAACGTCTGGGTCTAGAGGTCCGGGGGTCAGGCAGAGAAGGAGCACAAGGATCTGTGGAGGAAGAACAGAACATGTCAAACATCAGTGCAAACAGCTCACACACACAGAGTCACTACAGACACTGCATCGACTTAATATTCTTCATTTCATTGAGATCTGAGAAAATGTAAATGCAAGAGTTAAAGCTGGGGTACCTAACTTTCAAAGCACAATAAATGGAACTATGTATGTCCATATTACAAGTTTGATCAGTGGATTTCATATTTTCGTTTTCATAAATAATACATGTTTGTCCCAACAGAAAGTCTGTGCAGACCTCAACATGCTGTTTTACATTTGATAAGACTCATACATGTAAGAAAAAGCCCTGTGAGTCACTATTTGACACTTTGTTCTGAGCTGATAGTGAGGGTGGTCCTCTTTTTTTTCACTTTTATGTCTGAAGAAGCAGATGGAAAGATGTGACAGAAGCAAAATGTTGTTGAGCCAGGAACACTGGCCCTTTGAGGACATTATTTTGTTTCATTATCTCATATTTGTTGTGGATTGAAAGTTAGGTACCCCAGCTTTAAGGCAACACATTTATGCCCTGACAAATGTCAAAACGCGTCGGCTCAACTTTATATAAAAAACACAGCTCTCAGAGTGCCTCCTTCTCCATGTTTTCTTTGTACATGCACTTTGTTGTCTGAAAGTGTTTCCTGCCTTTGTTTCCACAGATGTGTTCATGTTTTATCCCTAAGTGGTCATTGGAAAATGGTTCTTACAGATTTATATTGATTTTAAAGTTATATCCAGTGGCATTTCTTCAAGTCATCTTTGTAATTAAAGCTGGGGGACTTCACTTTTTACCCCATGAACAACATTTAGTTTTTCTCAACAGACGGAGAACAAATGAGACAATAATAAGAAACATGTCATCTTTTGCACACTGTAAGAAAGAGCCCTGTGAGCCACTATTTGACTCTCTGGGCTGAGAGCTGATTGGCTGAGTGAGGGAGGTTCTCTCTTCATCACGTGTCTGTCTGAAAAAGCTGATCTAGTTGTGACAAAGGCCAAAAATACATGATGTGAAAACTAGTGATAGATGCAAACTGTTCAAGACCAAGTGACATGGATTGTATGACATGGGTCCATATCTTGTGGTTTTGAAGTTCGGTTCAGAAACGTTAAATGAGTGTCAGTTGTAGTAATGAGTTGTTAATGATTGTATAATTGATCCTGTATCATGGACGTGCAGGAGCTGACAGCACAGACACTAATACATGTGTCTAAACTCACATAAACCTGCTTTAATCCAAGTCACTGTGTCTGAGTAACACGGGCCACAGCATAGGACTGAACAGGGAAAGTGGAAAGCTCACGTTTGTGGTCTACAGTCTCACAGTCCGGACAGAAGGGATGAGCAGGAGTCAGCAGGTGGTCAGCAGCGGTCTGAGAGTCTCTGGTCAGCAGTGATGTCTCCTGGTTGAAGAAATCGTCGAGTGAAGTTTCACCAAATGTTTTTGTGTCGCAGCCAAAGTTTTGCGCAGATGCACTGATTCAAAAGATGCACTGTTTTAAAAGATGCCCCTAGCAACAGATGCCCTTAGCAACGCACCTCTGACAAAAAGAGGCGCGTGCGCTGTGTCTTTATTTTCATTGAGATGTAATAAGAAACTTGTTACGCTCAGCAAAACTATGTCCATCATAAACAGAGAACGCCGCGCCATATGCGCTTCTCCAGTCTGTGCACAAAAGCAGTTTACATCCTCCGCGTCTTTTACGCACAGACCGCGGCTGATCATGGCACAAACATTGTCAAACACGCAGGAAACTCACAGCTGTTCAACAAGATCTTATCGCGCATCTTCAATAGAAAGAACAGAAAGCCCCCAGGAGCGCATGCGTGGTCAAAGTAGACAGTGTGGGAAACTTGGTGTGAGAGTTAGCAGTGGCTTTCCAAGGGTACTCGGGGCCCCAGGCAACAGAGTCTTTGGGGGCCCCAATATTGACCACATAACCACATACAAAAGGTTTATATTACAGTAGGTATAAATGTATATTTAATAATAAGGTAAAGTGCAATATATATTACTCGTTTACGTTAATATAAATCAAATGTAGATAATTTCTTATTTTTAACAATAAATGGATAGGCCTGGGGACTGCCTGACAAACTGTACATGCAGTGTTTCAGTACTTATCATGACACAACGCAATGAGAAATAATTCAGCATGTCTTTTTATAAGCTTGTTCACTACACACTCATGTTATAATTAATTACAAAAACTACCAATCAAAGTGTATTAATCCTCCAAAATCTAATCTTTCATTTGGCCCTTGGTATTCATTTATAAACACCGACGGCCAAAAGACTTAGGCTTTTAGCTTAAATCTACATAAAACGGCTTGTTTTTACATTTTACTGTTCTTGAGCAATTTGTCATAGAATATAACACTTAAATCCAAAACACAGATGTCCCCCAATCTCGAACCTGTGACATCCCACTAAACATCCGACGTCCACTCAACCTCCAGATCACGTCAATATCGCGTCGGTCGGTCGTGACCTTTTATTTACGTCCAAACGACGTCTGTGCAAGGTGCGCATCTGGACGTAAAACAATGACCTCCCATATACGTGGATATGACGTTCAATCCCGACCTCCCTTAGACGTCGAAAACAGGTCATCGGCCGACCGACGCAGTACGTCTTGATCTAGCAATACAATATATAGGCTGTGAAGCGATCTCAGTGTACCTGACGGTAGTGTAGTGGTTAAGCAAATGTGTGCAGCCTTGGTTACATGAGTTCGAGCCCACGTGTGTGTATTATTATCTTTACATATTTGTTTTGATTTTTAACGAACAATTTTTTTCTGTTTGGTTAAAGACTAATAAACACTCAACATAGGATTACGTAGTGGCTAATAATAAAACTTGTGAATGTATGCATTTGTTGTGCTAACAATCTCAAGTTTGCAAATAAGGGGTGAGCACTTGAGATTGTATGCAAATGCATGGGTTCACAAGTTTTATTATTAGCCACTACATAATCTTATGTTGAGTGTTTATTCGTTTTTAACCAAACAGAAAAATTGTTCGCTAAAAAGTAAAAAGTAAAAAGTTTTCCGACGGGGATTTGAACCTGCGTCGTTGGGACTGAAGTCTCAATACGCAACCGCTACACCACGGCCAGGCATTTATCCAGACTACTGTGAAAACATAATACATAACACCCTAAACAACCGACGCACACTTATGCGCCGCGCAAGTATAACTTATTAGGCTTTACAGCCTGACACGTGAGTCGCTCGGTCGAGGACCTGTTTTCCACGTCTAAACGACGTAAGGTGTGAATCTGGACGTAAAGTAATGTCTTCCCAGACGTTGATATGACGTTGAATCTGTACCTCTGTCGCTGCCCTGCTTTATTTACTTGGAATCACCCTCTCTAGTAAGTACACAGTCTGCACAGTTTTTAGATATAGATGTATCATTTCCACATTGAAAAGAGTTGGAGACAGAAAGTAAGTTGTTTTCTCACGTATACGTGGATTTTGTTAAGTATATTTTGTATATTATCTGTATTTTGAATTGCCAGTGCATGAATCTATTGAGAGTGAGGAGCTGACGTCATAGCACAGAGCCCCTCCCCGTCTCCGCCATGTTGGTAGGATCCCAGCGGCAAACACTTGTTGTTGTTAACTCGGTAGCAAAGGAGGTCGTCGCTATTTCTGTTTTACCATGCCTGGAGCTCATTGCTGTGTGAAAAACTGCTCCAGTACCTCACACAATAAGAAAGGAAAACGTAGGAACAACGGTTTACAATTTTTTAGGCCACCAAAATGGATACAACATCAGGGAGCGCAAGTGTCTGACCTGACGAAGAGACGCCGGATGGCTTGGTTGGCTGCAATAAGAAGAAAGGACCTTACTTTCGATCTCACCCCCAGTCGATGAGAGTGTGTTCTCTGCATTTTCACTCGGGTACGTCCTAAAATGTCTTTATGTTGTTTTTTTAAAGTTAAGAAGTGTAGGTTACCTAGCTGTTAATGTTGCAAACACTGAAGTGCATCTTAAGTTAGCTGCCTAGCTAACTATCTAACAAACTGTTGCCTCTATGAAAATGCTTAATGGCCAACCATTAATGTTAACTAAGAATATTTAAGTTTCTGCTCATTATCCTACCTTGTTGGTGGAATATGGGCACTCAAAGTGCGTTTGTCTCTGTCTCTTATGTTCTCTAAACCAGTGGTGCCCAAACTTTTTTTTTGTCTTGTGTTTCCACTACCCCCTGAGCCCTTTTATGAAACCATGAATAGCGTTACCTTCTTGTTTAATATTTCTTTAGATTCCAGATTGTTTAATAATCTTATTAATCTGATGTAAGTAAACCATTATATGAGATTGCTAAAAATAGTTGAGATTCTGTTCATGACATTATGCTACCTTGTTGCCAGTTTAAAGCATTGACTACATACATTATTCTGTTCTAGGTAAACCATCATATGAGATGTTGGAGAATCACCCTGACTGGACACCATCCTTGCGGTTAGGCCACAATAATGTTAAAGAAACAGATGGAGCGCGATATCAGCGGCAAGTAAAGCGCAGTACCCAGCATCTGGAGCAGTCATCACTCCCAGCCCATGTCCAGCAGCCTCCATCGCCGGCCCAGCAGCCCCCATCGCCGGCCCAGCAGCTGCCTCAAGGAAGGATGAGGAAGCTCTCACCCTTCCAGCTTGTCCTATTGACTGTAATGCGCCTCAGATTAGACCTTCCATCTCAGAATTCACGTTGAGAGGGTGATTGGTGTTGTGCGCAACAAATTCAAATTCTTACATTCAACTGTACCTGTGCATATGCTTCTCAAATGTGAGGGTGAAAACCTAATGCCTTTAGATAAGATTGTCACTGTTTGCTGTGTTTGAGTGCCTTGTTCATAACTTATGAACCAACCAGAACCCCTCATGTCATCTGGATCCGAGTCCAGAGTCAGAACCGGACACGGAGAAGCTGCATTCAGCTTCTATGCTCCACATGTCTGGAACAAACTCCCAGAAAGCCTCAGATCAGCTGAAACACTCAGTTTGTTTACATCCAGGTTAAAGACCCACCTGTTCTCAGCTGCTTTTGAATATCTTTTATTCTAATGTACAAATCTGCACGGCTTCTTTTAATCTGGAATTACTTATCTGTTATCTTTTTCCTATGATTTTTTGTTTTTAAGTTAAAGTTTAAAATATGATATTGTTTTTCATATTTCAAACTATTTTTAACACATTAGAATTCTTAGGTTAGACTGTCCAACAAACTATGTGTTAAAAAAGGTTAAGATTCTTGAGTTTTAAAATAATAATTCAATTCTAAAATGTAAAGTTACTGTATATTTCACAATGGTTTATAAACTGCAAAAAGACAACAGTACTTAGTAAACTAAGTTTAAAAACAGGGAGATCAGCTTTAATATTTGGGACACTCCCATCATTTAGACACCTGTGATGTCATCAGTTGGAGTTGAGTTCAGGTGTGGGACCATGTGGGACCATAGGAGCACACAGATGTTACCTGCTGCAGAAAGAGAGTTTAATGTTCATGTATTGCTTTGTTTAATAAATGGATTTAATGTCTTCCCAGGTCTTCAATGTAAGAGACTTTCACTTCTTCTCACTGTGGCTGTTTAAATGAGCCACTACAGTTGTTATTTTTGTTATTGTTAGCTGCAAATATTAAATATCCATTCATCTGCTGGTAGCAAGCTAACTAGCGCTTGCAACTCTATTCAATTTCTTACTTTTTCTTATTAACATTAAAACCAGCCATATGATAATTAAAATACATTTACCTTTGCTAATGCAGTCAATTTTTTGTGAAATCCATAGAGTATAATTTCATGATTGTTGCAATAACTAATGTTCTATGTGTATTACTAATGTGTCATGTGTGTTTGAGTCTTACAGGTGTCAGACTGTGTTGAAGGTGTTCAAAGGTAAGAATCACACTCTCACACATTGATTGTTGTTCTGTATTAATATGTTGTTTTTAGAATAAACCATTATTTGGTGTATTCTCTTTGAAAACATCTATCTTTTTCTCAGATTGTTCAGCAACTCACTCATGATGAGGGAAAAGAGCAACAAGGGGAAAATGCCCGCTCGGAAATGCGACATGTGTAGAGTAATACAGGGTAAGTAGCTTTCAGGGCTCATTTGTGTCCATGTGCAAAACAAATGCACATTTGCAATTGTTTTTTTACATGGAATTACTCCAATGACCAAAGCCTTATCCCAAGTTTCTCAGACGGAGTGTCTTCCAGTGTCTCGAGCTAGTGCAGTGCCAAGGTTTGTATCACATGGTGATGGATCGAGTGGTTTGAGGCATTAATAGAAAGTTATGTGTTGTTATATCACTTTGCCACATTATGTTGAAACTAAACATGTTCCACATTTCCAGGTGCTGTGCTTGGACCTTGTGATGAGAGACTGAAGACCAAGAGAGGGACACATGTTGGAACATCAACATTCAATAAATGCATTCTTCTGCCTTTCAGATTGTGTTTTTACATCTGGGGAACCTAGAGTGTAGCTTGTGCCTGTTTTAATACTGATCCAAACATAGGCGCTACAATCATGTTTTTTTACTTTGGCATGAACTGTTCAGTACAGTAGTGTTCATAACACTGTGCCCTGTGTGCTTTAACTTTTACTTTGATGTAGAGAAACATGATTTTTAATGCAGCTCCATTTGCAATAATGACTGATATCCTTCTACTACAGTTGTTCTAATGATTTTTGAATGCTGTGTTTATCGTTTATTGCCCAGAGTCAGAACTAAACATGATATAGCTGCATTTCAGATTCACAAGGCTAAAATCTGGAACGGTCTTCCTGGAAATGTGAGACAGGCTTCTTCTTTGACAATGTTAAAATCCAGGTTTAAAACACTTCTGTTTCTGCTTCAACTGAGAGATTTTATGAGAGATTTTATTTGTATCTTTTTAATTTTACTGTCAATATTTATAATTGTAATGCCTTGTTTGATTGTTTCTATCTTTTGTTCAGTGCTTTGAGTTTCCTTTTGTTTTGACTGTGCTATACAAATAAACTTGCCTTGCCTATTGCAAAAAGTATGTCTCGACTATTAAGTCATTCTACAGAGGTCAATAGGACTGTAAATGGACGTCATATAAACGTCAATATTTTGGTCATATAAGACGTCGAGAGGACGTCGGACCCGACTGGTTCTGTACCACATTACAACCTTGAATGAACGTCCAGATGACGTTGGAATTACGTTGTTTTGACATCTGCTTGCTTAGTGGGAACGACTGAAAACGAACGTCATATAAACGTCAATATTTTGGTCATATGAGACGTTGATAGGACGTCAGACCCGACCGGTTCCGTACCACATTCAAACCTTGAATTGACGTGCCATCAACGTAACATTTGGAGGTTGAGGTGACGTCGGGAAACGACGTCGAGAAAACTTTCATTCTGCACCCACCAGTGACCTATATTCTACGTCGGACAACGACGTTCAAATTACGTTGATTCAACGTCGGCTTGCTTAGTGGGATTGTAGCACAAGTGCCGCAACTTAACCACTAGACCACTGTTACATACAATCCAAAATTGTCATTTTGTCACTACAGCTAGCTGTTGTAGCCTGTACGAATTGACCACTTGTGTCAAATCCGTCGGCCCTCCGGGGCCCCCTGCCAGTTTGGGGCCCCCAGGCAGCTGCCTGCCTTGCCTTATGCCCAAGGACGCCTCTGTGTAAACGTACATATTTATGGCTTCCGTATGCATCGTCTGTGGCATGTATCAGCTATGGTCTCCTCTGGAACAAATGACACAACCCTCCTCCTCCACTCCGTCCCTTCACTGCCTCACATGGATCTTTGAAATTTGGAATTTCAAATTGTTTCATTTTGTTGTCCCGCCCTCCACTTTTCTACCAATCAGAAAGTCCGTGATCCTGGTTGCCAGAACTCACTCAAAGTAACACGTGGCTGAAGAACTAAAAAAGGTCTCATTATGATTCTCAAATTAACGACAAAACAAAGGATAAAACCAGGATTTCTATCTTTGTGAAAAAGGTGTTGGTTAAGGATTTGTTTTTGATCAAACTCTTTATTCAAATATTATGACCATTATATATAAAATATATATATATATATATATATATATATATATCTGGCAAACTGAGTCAGGGAGAGTGCAGTACCACTGTTGGCCAGAATTGTATATACTGCTCCTTTAAGGAAAAAACAAAATAAATTGAACTGAAAGGAATTTAATGGGGTTCACAAGACATTGACGCATACTCTGGCTAATTTCATCATTATGTTCTTTTTCTTTGCAAATTGCCGCTTTGCTGATATAAAATGACAATTCCCCCCAGAACCCAACGTCCTAATTATAAAAGTTGCAGAGTCCTCATGTAACACACAGGGGGAGGTGAGCTGGGGCGAGAGCGCACACGGCCGCCTGTCCTGTCATTACTGAGGCCACACCACTTTCTCCACAACATGACACAAAACCACTGTAACTGAACCACATTCCTGCCCCCTTTTTTTTTTTCCTGGAGCGATGGAATTCCAACATGTCTCCCGCTTTGTTTGCCTTGATTAGAAGACGCAGAAATGACTCGCAGCTGACTTTTAATTTGAGAGTTATTTGTGGTTGTGCCGAATGTAGAAAAAAGAAAGTTTATTTGTAGACAGAGAACAAGAGAAGAGAGGAGGAGGAGGAGGAGGAGGAAATTTGGCATGTGCGCTCGAAAAGACGGCGAGGAGCGGAGATGGGTCAGTGCTGTCCAGGAGTGAGGACCAGAAGAACACGCAACATGAAGGCGGTCTGTGCGCTCGTTCTGGTGCTGTGTCTTTACCATGTGTCCACGTCCACGGCTCAGGTGAGTTCATATCTATTCACGCAAAAAATGATCAAATATGAGGTAAACAATATGCTTAAATCAAGGGTTTTTTATCTTAATTTTCAGATTTTAAGTCTAGTAATGAGACAATTTTTTACGCCTTGGCTTTTCACACCAATTAAGTTTTACCATTTTACTTTTATGAGTATGTATTTTATGCATTTTTCTTTCTTTTTTTATCTTATGTGCCTGCGAAGCACTTTGGGCAGCTGGTGTTGTTGTAAATGTGCTATACAATTAAAGTTGATGTTGACATTGACATCATTTGAGTACTTCCTGACTGAGCCAAGAATAAGCCATGTAGTCTTTTCAAGAACTGTTGTTTATTCTTCTCATTCCAACGGAGACATTTCTTGTATCTTTTAGTAACACGATGTTGTTGCTTGTTCCATTGGCGACTCTTGTTTTAAGGCAGTCAAAATGTGCTCAAATTAAGATACATTTTGCCAAATATGAGACATTATTTTACATAATTTATCACTTTTTGCTGTGTAGAGCCTGTATAATTATTGTCATTTCTTTCTTTTTAATAAATGCTTGGGTATTTTAGTTATGGCAAGATTTTGAGGCGTATAGGCTAGGCAAAAAAATAGTTTGAATTTCCAAAACATATTTTTTTAAGTCTGTGTCAAACATTCAGCTTCATTCAGGCAACTTCAGTATGATGTACACAGAGGTCCTTGGTTTATTGTGAGGTGTACACACACACTTTTCTAAAAGCATGAACTCACGACTGCTGAAGTGTGATCTTAGAGACATCAAACCTGACATCAAACAGTAAAATACAGCTGCAAAGGACACCGCACTGAGGGGCAGGAACAGGACTGTGGTCGGTGGGGACCACAGAACTAAACTCTGAACTAATCACGCGGTGCACACGAGCATTAAAAGTTTGTGGCAAAGTCTTCTGACTTTGCCACAAACATTAAAAAAACACTTTATAGAGCTTGAATATAAACATACAGTATAAACACGAGGTTACAATTCATCCCTTTTCTTCAACTTGAAGCTGGGGAACCTAATATTAACAGTAAAATATACAAGCGTGAAAAAACTAGTGAACCTCGGAACTAGTTAGGATTATTTGATTACATTGTTAAGTTCTTTGAAATGTGAAAGTTAGGTACCCCAGCTTCAATAACATGTACAGTACAGTAGTTGCAATGGTGTATCCTTTTATGTACAACAAAAGAAAAAAAAAACATTAAGAAGTAATGTTGGTAATAATGCACAAATGACTTAGATACAACAATAACAAATCCAAATCCAGAATGCCACAAATACATTTCAAACATTTACCGTATCTGTGGCCGACTCCTGCTGCACTAAGAACATGCAGATATGGAGCTGTATCCACTGTTCAGTCTGTGCTCACACTCCCACCTGTTTCACTTGAACCCTTCCTCTCCCACACACCTGCACTTGTGCATTTAATTCACTGCCGGCATTTAAATGCCTCACAGCTTAAGCTTCAGCTCGAGCAGCAACCCACCTCCTCTCCATCACTGTCCGACATTTAAGGAACCAAAGGCAACAAATATCATTAGTAAGAAATCGTAGAGTTTATTCACACACCAGTTTCCTTCATGCAAACCTACTCAATAAACGTTGAAGGTTTTTTGGTCTTCTGATAGATTGTGGTTTGTTTTAAGATCAGAGCATTTTTTTGGACCTGACAAAGGGCTAAACACTGTAAAACACACAAATAGGAACGTCACTCCAGCTAATCTGTAGGATATACAGTAAGTCGAGTTTGTCCAGATTGAAATAGTCGATACACATAACAGATATTACACAAAGTCTTTTGTTTCTCATTGAACCTTTCCAAAAATAGACTTTGCCGCAACAAATGAAACGTTGCATTCATTGATGTTGGAACTGTAAATATAGCAGCGCAGATTCGACTGGCCCAGAGCAGCCCCTCATTATCACTGCCTCATTTAGAGTTGTACTAATGTTTTGCCAGTATCATCAAACCCTGTCCCTCTCGTTTGCTGGACCACAGAGCAAAGCCACGTTGTTCAGAAACTCTTTCATACCGAACTCAACCACATGTGGAGCGGAGGGCTCTGGGTCAGTCCAGTACAGTGTGTGGAGAGCCAGGAATCACACTATCATGAATGTAAAGCAAATTAAGGTTTAAGGATAAGACCAGTGGGGCGGGTCCCGTCTCCAAAATGTCCATGAGCACATGCACTGACATGCTGCAATCTCACTCCGGGCCAGTGGGGGTGTACCCGGAAAATTACCTAATGCTTTTGTATAGCGTCTTCTTTCATCTCAAAAACCGCTTTACAGGATGGTCCAAAAGTCGCTCTTGGCCCAACGCTACATTCCAGATGTGTGTCAATACTGAGGGGAGTATTATTATTTTTTGGACCAGTCTAGTTTAGCCTCTGTGGACTTCAGAATGCACTTGTCAAATGAATGGGGCCAGTGCAGGCAAACGCTTGCACAAATGTGTTCTTTCACATTTTCCTACCCTGTGGCTATTTTGAAAAAGCCCTACAGAAGGCAAAAGTGGCGGCACATTAGTTTCAACAGGACATTACATGATACATTTCAGGTTATTATTTTGGGCTGGTTCGATCCCCCCCACGACTCACGTCACCTGCTCCCAGTGATGTTTGCTGTCGTTGTGTTCCTGGAGCTTCCTGTTGCCTGAAGCCCAAACTGAAACACCTTGGCCGTGTTTTTGTTGACGGAGCGGCCATCTTCCCGTGGACCCTCCACCTGCAGGATGATGGCAGTTTTTTTTGGACAGTGATTCTGACCCTGCACATGGACTATTCCAACCACTCCTCTCAGGCAGGAGGCAACGGTCCATCTGGACAAGAACCTCCCGCCATAAGAACAGTTTCTTCCCCTCTGCTGTTGGACCTTTTTTAGCGGCTCCTGAAATGCATTTCAATTATCACTATCACAGTACCAGTAACTTGCAGCATTGTTACTATACAGTGTTACTCTGGACCAACGGCTCCTTTGTGCTTGTTATTATTGCATTTCCTGTTTTCGAAGGATTTTATTCTCTGATCTGTTGTTGACAAATCGACAACTTTTGCAAATAGTATTGATGTGACTATTCCCTGTGTGTGTGGCTTCAGGAGTGCACGTCCATCCAGGACCTGCTCAACTCTCTGCGTCAGATGCAGAAGATGCTGGCGGTGCAGGAGGCCTCGTACCAGCAGGGTCTGAGGGGCCTCAAGAAGAAGCTGGGAGCTCTGCACAACAGCACCATGGCCTTCTTCAGAGCCGGCAAGAACTGTGAGACGCTACACAAGCTTTGGCCTTTCATTCAGGACGCCAGGACTGACCCACGGCCAAAATGTGGACCATCTTAAAGGGGACATAACCTAAAAACTTTTCTCAGCTTTTTGATGATTATAGCTGTTACAGTTGTCTTCCCGTTTTATCATTTCCACACAGAAAGCTGATTTAACATGATTTACGCATATTTGAGTTTTTTATAAGATTAATAAGGATTACTTACTTACTGTTATATCCCCATATACAAATTCCACCATTCTTCTCCCTTTCACCGGGTTTTACTTTCTCTGCCAATTTTCTTTTCGGAATCAGTGATATGTGGAAGATTCACTTACTGTAATGCTCCGCCAGAGGAGGTGGGATTTGAGGAAACGGGGGATTTACTTTACTAATTTCTTTAATAATAACACGTTAGCTCACTCCCACTAGGAGCCACAGCGGTGACAGACAGCGGTCACAGGCAGTCATTTTAGAACAGAACAGAATTGGGTCATGTCCCCTTTAATATCAAACTTTTCAGTGTCCTTCTAAGGCTAAATATAGATTGCCTGTCCAGCTAGAACTACGTCATTTTACAATAATAATGTTCTAATTTGTGAGGATTCTCAAGCAAATTATGCAATCACAATTTTATGAGAATTCTTTTATCAGTGCAGGGAAAAATAAATTCTTACTGAAATTATTTTATGGTCAGACTTCACGCTCATATAGTATGTCACCTGTACTGCAAAAAAAACTTTATTTATGTCTCATTCTTGCTATCTATCGTGCTACAAATCCTCTCTTATGTGACGCTTTGAAAATAATGTCTCTGATGATCCATACAAATGAATAGGATTATAAACAGGGAATTATCCGAAACATTCTATTAATTCAATTTTTCCACTGAAATGTTTGACGATTACTGGTAAATATTGTTCATTCAACTTCATTGTGAGGTGAATATTTAAGTTTAGGCTGCAAATCATGGGAAAAACCGCATGACCATAACAAATGAAGGCTGAAAAACGTATGTCTTGTTCATAAACTTCAGTTACTACAAAAACATAAAACCCACATATCCATCTGAAGCATCATTTTCACGTGTGTCTGTTGTGTGTTTTGCAGTGACCTGTCCAAAGCCCGACCCGCCTGCTCACGGGCGGCGGCTGGGGCGAGTGTTCGGGGTGGGCCACGAGGTGCACTTCATCTGCAAACCTGGGTACGAGCTGCTGGGACCCCGCACCAGAGTCTGCCAGGAGTCCCTGAAGTGGAGCGGACAGCAGCCCATGTGCCAGCGTGAGTCCAGGGAGCTGCCGAGAACAATAATGGTCAAAGTGGCCCCTCGCTATGGGGTGCCGATTGTAAAAATTCTGTTAAAATTTTTTAGCTGAACATTTTTCAACATTTAGCTCACTTTCCTCACATTTAGCGCATTTTCCTCACATTTAAGACAGACATTCATGTAAAACAACACGTTATATGTAGTTGTCAAATACATGTTAAATATGATATATATATGTTTATATCTAAATCTAAATGTGAAATGTTATATCTAAATATTATATCTATATCTAAATGTTAAATGTTATATCTAAATATTATATCTATATCTAAATGTTAAATGTTATATCTAAATGTTATATCTATATCTAAATGTTATATCTATATCTAAATGTTAAATGTTATATCTAAATGTTATATCTATATCTAAATGTCATATCTATATCTAAATGTTATATCTAAATATATCTATATCTAAATGTTAAATGTTATATCTAAATGTTATATATATATCTAAATGTTAAATGTTATATCTATATCTAAATGTTATATCTAAATGTTAAATCTAAATGTTATATCTATATCTAAATGTTATATCTAAATGTTATATCTATATCTAAATGTTATATCTATATCTAAATGTTATATCTAAATATTATATCTATATCTAAATGTTAAATGTTATATCTAAATATTATATCTATATCTAAATGTTATATCTATATCTAAATGTTAAATCTAAATGTTAAATCTAAATGTTATATCTAAATGTGTCGCCAAGTGTAAAGCTAAATATATAGAAAATATTTAAATCCACAAGGAAACCACGCCCACTGCAGTGGCTTCAAATCCAGTGGGGGGTCCGCCCCCTTTCCTGAAATGAGTTGCTTGTTTTCACCCTTTTATTGTGTGTATTTTTCTGATTTTTAAACTGTCGTGAAGCACTTTGTGGCTCTTGTCTGTGAAAGGTGCTACAAATACAGAAACAGTGTTCAGGTGTCAGGACTGACACCTGAACACTGTTTCGTTGTGCACTTGTACAATGACAATAAAGCACTTACTTACTAAATAAAGATTACGTACTCACTCAAATAACGTACTCACTCACTCAAATAACATAGTAAACTTACAAAGTACATGAAATGCTGCTAAAGACAGAAACAAACTTACTTGAGGGGTTTGTTAGTTAGCATTTATCCTTGTTTTTAGTCCAGTTTTTGAAAAACCTTTTTAAAGTTTAAAAAACAACTTTTTTTTTAAACAGTTAAAAAAAAAAAAATTAAAAAAAAATTTAAATGATTTTTGATGCTTTACAATTCTTTTACGAAGAAAATAAGTCCATGTCCTAAAAATAGTCATTTTAAAGAAAAATATTTGCCTTAATCTGAAACTCCCCGTGGACCATTTTACAGGCTGCTCCTTTTACATGGTTGTCTATGGCGAAAAGGGCTTTTGAGCCGTAGGCTGCAATACCACGGCCTGCCACTAGAGCAACTCATTTCAGGAAAGGGGGCGGACCCCCCACTGGATTTGAAGCCACTGCAGTGGGCGTGGTTTCCTTGCGGATTTAAATATTTTCTATATATTTAGCTTTACACTTGGCGACACATTTAGATATAACATTTAGATTTAACATTTAGATTTAACATTTAGATTTAACATTTAGATTTAACATTTAGATATAGATATAACATTTAGATATAGATATAATATTTAGATATAACATTTAACATTTAGATATAGATATAATATTTAGATATAACATTTTAGATATAGATATAACATTTAGATATAACATTTAGATATAGATATAACATTTAGATTTAACATTTAGATATAACATTTAGATATAACATTTAACATTTAGATATATATATAACATTTAGATATAACATTTAACATTTAGATATAGATATATTTAGATATAACATTTAGATATAGATATGACATTTAGATATAGATATAACATTTAGATATAACATTTAACATTTAGATATAGATATAACATTTAGATATAGATATAACATTTAGATATAACATTTAACATTTAGATATAGATATAATATTTAGATATAACATTTAACATTTAGATATAGATATAATATTTAGATATAACATTTCACATTTAGATTTAGATATAAACATATATATATAATATTTAACATGTATTTGACAACTACATATAACGTGTTGTTTTACATGAATGTCTGTCTTAAATGTGAGGAAAATGCGCTAAATGTGAGGAAAGTGAGCTAAATGTAGAAAAATTTTAACAGAATTTTTACAATCGGCACCCCATACCTCGCTGTAACACGGTTCACCTTGTCAGGATTTAGCAGACAGAGACGGATTGTGGTGTGCCAAACTCTGGAAGTTTATTTAAGTTTCTCTCAAGTTCCACTGGTTTACTCTGTTTCTTTCTCTCAGACAGAATAAAGGCAGTACACAGTTTATATAGTCATTTTCACGTCACACATCGAAAGACATACGTGTCACAAAGAGACAGTCACATCATAGTCATAACATGGAGTCCTTGTACAGTCCTGCACGTAGGCCATATTGCTATCTAATACTAACACCCTCCCCTTTGATCACATAATCACATGTGATCACTCAAATCGATCAATCAATAAAGTGGAAAAAGAAAAAAAAAATCAAAAAAAAACTTTAAAAAATTATTAAAAAACAAAGAAAATGTATGCATTAAACTCATAATCATCAAATCAATATCAGTGGATTTTATCCTCTATCCTGGGAAAAAATAAACAAACAAAAATAAATCAAAAATAAAAACAAACAAACACTATTGGACACACAAGAACTCAGCAGATTCAGTCAAAACACAGACAAAAACGAGCTGAGTCTCAAATTAGAAGCTAATTTCACTTTTATTACTCTATGCTTTTATTCTAATGCTAATTGTTTACACTTCACTCAATCTTATTTCACTGTATTATTTTCACTATTTAATCTTAGACTGTGTACTTTACTTTTACTATTCACTATAGTTTAAAACTATTCTAATCTATTTACAAATATGTTTGCATATTTGCTTCTATTGAGCCATATTCTTAAACATACATTTTAATCTAATAAATCTCTCTGCACTGTGATTTACTCTCATTATCAGTTTGGGATGAATGTACATCTTTAATCAAATTGGAACTATCCTTACAAGAGCTAATCTATTTTTGCAGGTTTGGGGTTGGGGTCAGTTATTCTACAATGGTGTTTGTGCTGGAAACTTCTCAATATCTAAATATCTACTATACTGTTTTTGTGCTATACACAAATACATCAAAATGCTTTTAAATCTCTGTTGGTTCTAATCTATCTCATTAATCTAGACTACACTCATATGGACTTTTGCATTGTCAACATTCACTCATGTGTGAACACAAGTGAATTTGGCAAGTATCTAATAAAACTGTACATAAAACTGTAAGTAACTTTATCTACTTCTGAAGTAAATGTTTGTGAAATGGTCCCTTTACCATTTGATATTAGCACTGGCTACAAATAATCTCTATTTTTGAAAGCATCTATGGTTGATGCATTTATCTACTGTATTTCTATTTCTACACTATTGTGACTCCAAAGCTCGGTTGCAGCTTAAGTCAAGGCATATTCCTAATTTGTGACTTCTGTCACTTTCAATGGCTGTAACATAAATATGATTCTAATATTCTAGCTGATCTATCAGAAGGATAACATTGTATGGTACTATTTTAACTCTTATGTGGAAATGTGTTTATGAACAACAAAGGAAGGATAATTCTATTCTATTTTACTACTATTTAACATCTAATAAAACGCTACAATAATCATACTTTATCATTTTCAAAGTTTTTGTCTGTCAGATGTCTGAATACTTAACATGTATATTGCATTTGTCACAGTTGTGGTTCTGGTTGTAGCAAAAGCATCAGCAATAGACGTTTTCATTGGCTGGTTCTTGTTCTGCAAATGTCTGTGTCCAATAGATCATCAGATGTCCAGAAGCTAGGGACAAACAAAAACAAAAGAAAGAATCATGAGTATCTCTCTCATTTAGCACTCATCTATGTATGATTTCAAAAATATAAACAATCACTCCCCAGGTTTTTCTCTCTCAGATCCTCAGGTCCTCAGGTCCTCAGGTCCTCAGGTCCTCAGGGTCCCCTGAGGGTGAGTCTCAGTCGTCATCAGGTCAGGTCATATTTCGAGAGATGTCATCTTGGACATCAGTAGGGTCCAAGCCATGGCTCTGGTCTCTTCAGATGCACATCAGATCTCCAGATACAGTCTTTTCACTTGAAGCACATCAGGTCATTTGCGATGCACTTCTGGTCAATGGTTCAGTGTCTCAGTTCCTGTACACAGCTTGTTATGCAATAGTTACTTTCTATGGTTAAGTCACTTTGATTCTACTTTAACACAATTTCTATTCATGCTGTTGCTTCTGTCCCTCAGACAAAAGCAAGCGCAATGATTCAGTTTACTTCTCTAATTTGTGTTTTTATCAGATCTAATTCTAATCAATGTAATTACTTCACACAGTACAAAATCAACAAATCAAAAGTGTCAGGACAGACGTCAATTAAGTACATGACAATATAGAATTCAAATGAACATTTCTGGTCTCAAAAAATACAGATTGAACTAAAGATTCAAGTGATAGACAATTAAAAATATGTGTTTACATTGGAGTAAACTTTTAAAATGCTTTTTTCTCATGTTCTACTTTTTCATGTATCTATATGTAAATATGAATGTGTGAGTGTGTAGATGTATGTATGATTGTGTGTGTGTGTGTGTGTGTGTGTGTATGTAGGGTGTGAATTTTGGGGTTGTGTCTCCAGACTCCTCGAACCACCTGCAGGTCTCAAAGGTCACACTGTGTCGATGTAACCACGTGGACACACTTTCAACTGCCTCTAGGTCTCTACCTGAGGCCTCCACCCATCACTGCCTCCAGAAACCTCCACTTTCATGGCCCCGGTCTCACTCCCACTTACTTCTGTAGTGGGGGGAGGGGCATAGAGGTGGCATTGTTGCCCTTTGCTCTTTGATCTGTGACCTGTGGCTGGGTGGGCTTTGCGCTGTCCAGTGTCCAGCAGTGACCTCTCGTACAGTGTGGCAGAGTCTGAAAAACAATCCTTGAGACGGCCAATTTAAAAACAACAGATACAGTATCAGTATGTGAATGAGATTGTTTTTCTCCCTAAAGTCAAAACAATTTTGGAGCGCTCTTGGCTTTCCAAGCGCTATGTAAATAAAGATTACTTATTATCTTACTAATGATGACACTTTTAAGACCAGAAACTCTCTTAATAAAAAACAAGACTCAAATCTAAAAAAACCTTTTTAAACTTTAAAATATGTATTATGTACTTTTGTACTGTGTGTTTAATTATCTATGCGTCCTTGGGTTTCTTGAAAGACGCCATGAAATGAAATTATTTTGGAAAACATTAAAACATAACCTGAAATCAAACAAAAAATTTAACTCCAGCTAAACTGGATTCGGTTCAATAAATAAAACTCAATTGTGCGTCGGAGCTGCCTCCTCCTGTCTCTGGGCAGCAGGAGGAAGGTCAGGCGTGTAGTCAAAACAAAAACATCACCGCTTGCAATGGGTGAATTGGGTAGTTTAACTTAATAATACTTTTACAGCCTAATTCCCTCTTTCTTTTTAGACAAAGTCTATAATCAATAATCACTTTTAACACAGATTCTAATTTAAATGTTTGAAAAACGGCTTTTGTAACTAAAATAAAAACATACAAACAAACACAACTCACAAAAAGTTAAGAAATAAGCAGCAGATTTAAAAAGAAAAGCAAAGCTTTTTGTACTAATCTTTGGGTTTCAAAAACATACTAATTCAAAACTTCTATTTCCTAATGGTGTTTAAAAATGTTTAACTGTGTCTAACACAATGTTCAATGGCAAATTTCGCAAATTTAACGGAATAACAACTATGAAAAGCCAGAAATCCTAAAGCAGTAGCTTTGCTCTGCTTCAGAGCCAGAGTAGCAAAGGAGGGGGCCGTTTCCCCTGACAACGGCAGCAAGATAGAGCTGCACACACAGGCAGAAAGTAGTGTTTTAGCAAAAATGCAAAAACAGAAAGAAGAATAACTTTCAAGATTACTTTGCGAATATAACTTGTAGTTTATACTTTTGTCATCCAAGTCTAGAAGTGATCACTTTCCACACTTGTAACAAAAGGCACTCTTGTCTTTCACGTTTACGCTTCTATTTTATCGAGGTAGCAAACTAGTTTAAACTCAAAATCTCTTTCTAAAAAACAAAAACAACTGTTGGATACAACCCTCTCATAGCTCAACTGTAGATAAAACTCGGCAAAAAATGTAAATAACTCACGAAAGCTCTCATAGCTCAACTTTAGATATAACTCTGCATTCTCCGGTGAACTCTGTTCACTACAAAAAACAAAAACTCCCTTTTTCTGTATGTAATTTAAACCGTGATCACTGAAATATTGTTGCTTCTTTACTTTTGTCATTTATCAGCCTGAAATTTGTCAATTTCAAAGCTTTTGTAACAAAGGCCTCCTTAACACGTTTCCCTTTTTATAATTACTTTTAATTTTACACCATGGTTTCACTTATGGATCCTCACTTATGGCCTTTACACTTTATGGATCCTACACTTTTTATGGCCTTTACACTTTATGGATCCTATTCACTTTAATGGCCAACACTTTTCACTTTATGGATCCTCACTTATGGCCTTTACACTTTATGGATCCTACACTTGTTATGGCCTTTACACTTTATGGATCCTATTCACTTTATTGGCCAACACTTTTCACTTTATGGATCCTCACTTATGGCCTTTACACTTTATGGATCCTACACTTTTTATGGCCTTTACACTTTATGGATCCTATTCACTTTAATGGCCAACACTTTTCACTTTATGGATCCTCACTTATGGCCAACACTTTTCACTTATGGATCCTTCACTCACTTTATGGCCTTCTCACTTATGGATCCTATACACTTTATGGATCCTCACTTATTTGAACACAATTTAGAGAGTTCGACAGACCTCAAAAACAGACCAAAATTTAGCTAGTATCCAATTATGCAGACTTTACATATAAAAAGGTGTCTGCTTACCTTATTCTTGTCAAACAGGATCCAAGGACTGTCCGAGAGGTCTGCCAACTCTTTTCCGCGTCGGAATATTCAATTTAAAAAACAAAAGTGACAGAAGCGACAAGAAGCATCCAGGAACAGCTCTTCCAGCCTGCTGGAATCTCCCCTCCCAGACACAGCATGCCGATCTCTCACGCCGAGGAAAAGAAACAAAGCAAACTCCCTCAAAACAATCCAAAGAATGGCACACACTGAGCCGCGCATTCTCCACCAAATCTGTCAGGATGAAGCAGAGAGAGACGGATCGTGGTGTGCCAAACTCTGGAAGTTTATTTAAGTTTCTCTCAAGTTCCACTGGTTTCCTCTGTTTCTTTCTCTCAGACAGAATAAAGGCAGTACACAGTTTATATAGTCATTGTCACGTCACACATCGAAAGACATACGTGTCACAAAGAGACAGTCACATCATAGTCATAACATGGAGTCCTTGTACAGTCCTGCATGTAGGCCATATTGCTATCTAATACTAACAACCTTTCGGGGCTTTTCTGTTTGCCGGATTTTTGTGTGTGCAATTTTTGCGCGAAAACAACCTCATATAACCGCTACTTTTACATAACAAGACCACCGTGCATTTTTAACTAAAATACTAAAATGTATTATGTGTGCTCATTTTGGCTTTTAAAGATCAGTAGAATGTTTTATTTAGTAGTTGATGTATTAGAATGTGAAATAATTTGTGAAGTTGAGAATTAATGACCAATGTCCATACATTTGCATTCATGACCTGGATCATCACTGTGTCGACTAAACACTAAATCAACTTTTTTTAACTCATAAACTGCAAAAATATGTTTATTGTAGTGCTCTCTACATATCCTGGTCATTTTCTTTGACATTTTAGTGCAGATTAGATAAAATCTCACTTTTGAGCCTAAAAACGTCTGTGTGGCGCCTTCTCGACCTTTTTTGGTGGCACTACATTTGGTCCTGGCCTCTCCATTGACTCTGTGTGTGACGTCAGTTTGTGTGTGTGACGGGTGTCTGTTTGCGCCAGTGGTATAAACCCATCTAAGTCTCACACACGCCCCAGGAGCAGGTTGGAGTATTCTGCTCTTTAAACCCTCCTACATCAACAAAAAAGTCAGATCCTGGATTCAGGCTGTGGACCCAGGTCTGAGGCTGTAGATCCAGGACTCTTTATTTTCAGGCTTCTAATCTAAGTTACCAATTATTTATCCATTGAATAATACACAAAGTTACATTTTTACAAATATTTCATAATCCTTTAGGGACCTAGCTAAAGTGAAGATGAAGCATTTGGAGAGAGAGGGCATAACGGGGGCCATGCAGGATATTTGAACATGATTTATACATATATAATTAGTTTGAATCTGGGTATTCCAACCACAAACATGAACTATGCTGTCAAATATAACCAGTTCCTTGGTGACATGTATTTAAACTGTTCTTAAACAGGTTTTCCCATAAGACATGTTGGGACAAACGTGTCAAATTTATGGAAAAAGTTAGGAACAAAAATGTAATGGGTGGTTCTGTCTACCAAAGTCTCTTTATTAGAGTTATTTTTATATTCCCAAAATGTTGTATGTTAAGTTGGAACTATCCATCCATCCATTTTTGTCCCCTTAATCAATTTCTGGGTCGGGGGGTGGCAGTCAGAGCTGCACCCAGTCCACAGAGCACCAGCCCCTCACTGATCCTCCTGCAGGTGGTGAGTCCTCAGGAGCTGAGATCTTTCAGTGGGGTCGTGAAGCAGGTCTCGTGGTGGATTTTAACCTACAACCTTCAAGCCCTAAGGCCGATGCTCTACCAACTGAGCTACTGTCGCCCCACCAAGTTGAAAGTTGAAACTAACTTAACTGAATATGTCAACTTTCAATATAAAGTTTTTAATGAACTAGAAAAGTAAATATTGTCTCCTTTCTCCTCAGGCTTTAACTCCAGCTCTCACGCTCTACCCTTCTTCTCTGCTGGAGCGTCTGCGTCGGCCCTGCCCCTGTCGGCCGCACTCTCCGCATCCTCTTCTTCCTCTTCATCCTCCTCCTCCCCCTCCCCTTCCCTCACTTTCTCCACCTCTCCAGCGCCCTCGTCTGTGCGCCCCTCTCACTGCACCCACTTCCTGGGCTCCACCCGCTGCACCTGTGACGTGGGCTTCACCATCTCCGGTCGCGACAACAACATATGCACAGGTCAGTCCAAATTCACTGTTGTAGACGGACAATGCTAACCCAATGGGGAAGTGCTCATGGATGATGCTACTATTGACTTATATTGAAAAGTAAACTCTTATCACTCAGTAATCGTTTGTGTCACTGTCTCCATTTTGGGTTTTAAAAATCCATGGTTTCTTTCTCCTCAGACATAGACGAGTGTCTGCTGTTCCCGCTGGGGCAGCCCGGGCGCCTCTGTGTCCATCAGTGCATCAACACTCCCGGGAGCTTCCATTGCTTCTGTCCCCAGGGGTATGACCTCTCCACGGACGGACGCAGCTGCTCCGGTCAGAACACACACCTCTCACTACACACCATTACTGTACAGTGACACAGTAATGTTCTGGTGTGGTCGGTTGGAGCTCACCTTGAGACCCCCTCTGCCCTTTCCTTTCAGACATTGACGAGTGTGAGAGCCGCCTGCACAACTGCAGCTCGGAGCAGACCTGCGTGAACACGTACGGAGGCTTCCAGTGTGTGAAGGTGGACTGTCCTGACGTGAAGAACGCCACCTACATCAAGACATCTCCAATGTAAGTGTGTCCCTGCGTGGGGCCCTCGTCATAATTCTTGTTCTCTATGCTACACAGTGTCGTAGAGCAAGTACCACATGGATCAAAAAAAAAATTTTTTTTTTCATGACAAAGAGTCAAATGCAAAAACTGACATTGGGTCCCTTGTGTGACTCGTGTGTAGTTGTATAATATTTGTCTCCTGAGCCATATAAGAACAACGGGCCATAAAACAGTTTTGATCTGCAACTATATTTGGTCCAAGTGTTCACACTCAACATGTCTCGGGAAAAAGGCTAACTCTGAAGTTTGGTTAAATGCTGAGTCGTTCTGACACGACAGTTTGTGTCGCCCAGTGTGTAAAGAAAGTCTGCCCCTGGGGTTTTCGGCTGAAATTCCTGTGTTTTTTTGCTCAGTGGAAATGAGGCTGCAGAGACCACATGAGCTTGGGACCATGATGAGACAATATCCTCTTACATCCTGTGTGGAGGGTAACCTCCCTCGTACCAAAACCTGCCTTTGGGCATTTGTGGGCATTTGATATTTGTTTTTAGTGCGGAGATGGTGTAGCCGCTGATCCAGACCAGCTGCTCTGGTCTGGATCAGTATTAAACCATGAACACTGTACTGCCGTAACATTTACAGGTAGAAATAACAAAATAATACAATAAATAACAATTGTAAAGCACAAAACAACTGTTTCAGAGCTACTTGGAATTGCTGCCGTTTCCAGCCCATTCAAAAGTACGTATATCTGTGGGTATAACATACATGCAAATAACTAATCAAACCAACTAAAATAAATAAATTAAATATAGGTTGATGCAAAAATAAGCATGCACATATCCTGTCTAATTCACACAAAGCTCACACACTACTGCAGCTTGAACAGAACAGGACATGAAAATCTCACATATTGCTACTTTGAGTGAGCAGCAAACCCAGCGAGAGGGCGAACCTGCTGCTTCCACATGAGCCAAGAGCCACAACGTCATTGCAGACGCAGCAGATCGGGACAATAGGCCTGACCCTGGATGTCCCAACTCCCAAGGACGGGTGTTGTAAGACGGGACACACACACACAGGCTCAGAGGAGGAGACCCAAGACAATAGGATGCCCCTCCTCTCCGCTCTGCACCCATCATTACGGGACGTCCCAAGTCCAAAAACAGGCCCATATTAGACAATGAGGCTCGGTTTTAAACATCCGCCCACTGTATAGTTTGATTGTAAGAGACGGAGAGGTAATAATGCACTGAAACCACAGACGGTGGCTTTGATTTGCTCACAAGAATTTTGATAATGCAAGAACACGGCGTCAAAACAAAGACGTTATATTCAGTAAAGTCGTGAATTGTTTTTTAAAGTAGTGGCTCAGTGAGAAAGCTCCCAAAGCGTAAATGTGTGTGGTTTGATTCTAGCTGTGGTAACTGCATTCTGCCCTCCTTTAGAAAACAGAATGTGATGCGACTCAAGCCTCATTCCCACTGCACAAAAACAGGGGTCGCTCCGAGCAACACGGGCTGCGGTGTCAAAACGACGCGCCGTTTGACCCGCCTCGCAAGGTCGTTTTTTTGGCCAAGGCGTTTACAGTGCGAACCAAAATTTGCCTTCAATGCACATACTGGTTGCCTTGCTTCTGTCAGTGTGCCCGAGGGCAGCTGTGGCGCGTGTTAAAAAAAAACGCTATATAAAAACAATAATTACATGATTATTCAGACAGCAATAAAACCAACAAAATGACAACCTAACAAGAGTGAAGTTCTTACCATCTATTAGGGCTGTTGTCGCCTGGCCTTAGCCATCCTACACTCGCACAATCATCATTTCACTGCATGTAACGTCTGGGTCTGGTCCCTGTGTTAGCGAATACAATCGGTTGAATTCCATCCGACCAATCAGAGAGCGCAGGAGGCGGGTGTTGTAGTTAGTTGTGGGTGATGTCAAGAGTTTGCGTCGAACAGGCAGGTTGTAGTTTGGCAGTGGCGAAGAATGCGATAGTAAAGTAATCCGGTCTGGTTCTATCAAGAAACTGAGGCCGGAGCAAGAGGAATGTTTAGCAAATGTAATCGCTGGCAAAAATGGTGGCGCTACTCCCCACGGGCTCCGTTAGCGGCAAAGGAGATGGCTAGGCTAAATGCTACATGCTAACGACTCACTCGGGCTCATTACATACGTCACGGTAAACTCAGATCCGAACGTTTCAATCTGCAAAAGGAGTTAACCCCTCCCACCTGTTCACGGAGCTCAATGGAGCACTTCCAGACCGAAATGTAATTTGTACTACAAATTACATTTCTTACTAAGGTCTGGAGGTGCTGCACTGAGCTACGTTCAGTACTACTATGGTATGGTAGGACCAGGCTAGGGCTGTTGCACAAGCTGCCCTTTCCTGTATTAAGTATTAGGAGTTACATGATTTAAAAATGCTGATGCTGCTCCATGTGGATGATAAACTTGCAGTAGTTCTTCATAGAGTGACTCCCTCTGGTCCAGGGTGCACTGCGCTGTGACTTTAGAAAACTTATTTTGAAAGTCAAATGTTTCTTTTGACTTTTCTTTTTGTCACATACTGGTCCTCCCTGTGGTGAAAAGCAACATGGTGGCAGCAAGAAGTTCCTGGGTTCGATTCCAATTCCAGTCCTTTTTTTATGTGGAGTTTGCAAGTTCTCAATGTATGTGTATAGGTTTCCTCCAGGTGCTCCGGTTTTCCCTACCACTAAAAACATGTACAACAGTTCCGAATGTACCGAGTGGGTTAACCAAATGGGAAGGTGGGAGGCTTCGATGCGCCAGAGTGTATCCGGCATCTCACTTCTGCCATTTTCCAAACATTTAAAGAGCTATATTGATAAAGATGACTCACTTATCTTTCCTACTGTTGTCCCGGGTTACCATGGCTGTACCGATGCGTGCCTTTATAGTAACCCTGTCTCTCCCGCAGGCGCTGTGAGAGGAACCCGTGCATGCTGGGGGACAAAGCCTGCGCCCTGGCCCCCTCCTCCATCTCCTTCCACTTCCTGTCGGTGGTGTCGAACCTGTCGGCGCCCCGCGTGCTCTTCCGGGTGTCTGCGGCGCGGGTGCTGGGCGACACGCTGCGCTTCGGCCTGGGCGGCGGCAGGGGGCGGGGCCACTTCAGCGTGCAGAGGTCGGGCCGGCAGACGGGCACGCTGCTCCTGGTGCAGCCAATCCGAGGCCCCGCCGTGCTGGAGGCCGAGGTGGAGATGAGCGAGCTGGAGAGGAGCGCGCTGCTGGGACGCTACCTCACAAAGGTCACGCTGTTTGTGTCACCGTACGATTTTTGATGTGGTCACCATGCCAACGCCACACACCTCTGTTTTCATGGTTATACATCAGTCTAAGTCAGAATTTCGTTTTTTATTTTGGTAAGTTTTGACCAGTCTAGTAATATTTACTTTCACCATTTAGAGTTAGGTTCAATTTCCAACACATTATTTTGTGTGGTTAGATTGGATCAAGTCATTTCAGTTTCTTGTAAAAAATAAAGTAAAATAAAAAGTGTTCAATCAAAGCAATATTTTGATCACAGTTCAGAAATGCTGCGCTCAAATCATGACAAATCTGACTGGATAATGAGTTTTAGTTGTAGCTCGAGAGCTGCACGGGTTTTAGGAGCTGTAGGAGAGGACCGTTTCTATGTTTGAAAGGCATTTTAAAATTTGTTAGAACATTTTTGGGACAATCACCCATTCGAACCACGGATTAAAAAAATTCCGCTGGCTGCTTCAGTAATGGGGCGACATGATGACGTTTACATGAAAAACCTTAAAAAGTCCAGCTGCTTTTACTTAATGTTTTACTGAATCAAAAGGCCCGGTCGCCTTTTCCATTCACACTGACCACCCGCCCACGATGCTGTGTCATTTTGACTCTACTTCCACTTAGTTTTCCACCTAGTCTTTTTGCCGAGGTATTTTAACCACTAAGAATACCGTATACAGTGTAAACATTCTTAGTGGTTCAAATATTTAGAAAAGGACATGAAAATAAAGGTATGTCCGTATAACAAATCACATGAACGTACGTTTTTAATGACCACGAATTAAGTACAGGCCTTTTTACATTTAACTATTTCCTTATTTGCCTTTTGACACTGTAATGTTGACTTTAGAAGGCAATGCGAGAAGCTGTGACATGGGTTTTAGAGTTTTGAAAGTTCTGGCCCTGAAAAGCTAGCACTGGTACCCTTAAATAAAAAATAGAATTCCCTCCGTTCAGGTACACAGTGCATTGACTGCAGACGTCTCCTTCTTAACCCCCCTTTAATACCGGTCTGCAATGTGAAAATGTTGAATATTGAAGGAATATTGAAGGGCTAGAGTTTAGAGTTTCATTTATTAAGGACGATGTGCAGCTACATTAAAGATGGCTGCACCAGATTTAGCACCATCCTACTTTCCACCTGTAGTCTTTACCAAAGTTACCAACACAATAACAGTCCCCGGTCACAATGTACAAAAAAACAACACAATTAATATTTAGCAGGAAATGGAGAATGTTTAATTTGCAGTATAAGGTGCAAGGTCCATGAGCACGTGCGCTGACATGCTCCTAATCTCAATTCGGGCCGGTGGGGGTGCACCCGGAAAAGGAATTATCCAATGCTTTTGTATGACGACTTCATTCCTCTCAAAACCGGCTTTTACAGGATGGTCCAAAAGTCGGCTCTTGACCCAAAGCTACGTCCCAGATGTGTGTCAATGCTGAGGGGAGTATCATTTTTTGGGACCAGTCTAGTTTAGCAGCTGTGGACTTCTAGAAGGCACTTGTTAAATGAATGGGGCTAGTGCCAGCTGACGCATGCGCAAATGCGTTTTTTCACATTTTCCAGCCCTGCGGCCATTTTGACAAAGCCCTACATAAGGCAAAAGTGGTGGCACATTAGTTTCAATGGCAGAGATAGGAGAAACTACGTCCGTTAATATTTACAGTCTCTGGGTGCAATACAAAACTACAGTACAGTATTTGACAGCAATATATAAAGTGCCACGAGGGTGTCATCTGATAGCCATGATACCCAACGGTACAGTAACTACGGCAAGATAACGGCCTGGTTGTCTGTGTATCGGTTACTTTTCTTGCTTTGGGATTTGTTTAAAGGATCAAAAGTGTTGTAATATACCAGATATTCCTTCACGTTGATTATGATTATATATTACTATACCATATACTCAGAGGGCATGTGCGTATGTTGCTCGGTGCGTGTAGAGAGTGGTCTGGGAGCAGGACTGTGATGTGGTTTCACACTTTGTCGACAGTGACCCGGGAAAAACTATAAAAAGTGAGAAAGGTATGTGTGTATTATGTGTGTGTGTTCTTCTGCAAAGCGTCTTCAAGTGTCCAAAAAGGCGCTATATAGGTACAATGTTTTATTATTATTACGTATGTATTATTATTATTATGTGTATCATGTGAGAGGACATACTGCATCATGACTTGTTTTGAAGGGTGAGATGTTTTTGACCCTATTCTTGGGTTTCATATGACGTTAGGGCAGTGGCGCGATAAACAAACGTGGGACAGGACGTGACGTACCCTGGCGGTGCAGTCTGCAGGGTTTATACATAGAGATATAGTAGAAGAAGAAGCGCTGTCAAAATGCCATCTTTTTGTGCGGTGTACGCTTGCAGCAACCGCGCAAATACAGAGAAAGACAAGAGTTTCTTCCGTGTTCCAACTGTGGTCTCATATAAAGGAGTGCACTTTTAAAAAAATCACTCAAATGAGGCTAAAGGCTTTCCCAATAAGCGCCCCCTGCAGGCCACCCAAATGAAACGCAGCAATTTCTTCAGTTTTTTTCTTCAAAAAATGCCCTAATTCAGGACTCTTTTGAGAAATATTTTTTAGTACTCCCTTAGAATGTAGTGTCCCCGATTAAGACTGTTCCAACAACCGTACACCGCACAGGATGAGAGCCTTTTGACTCCAAAACAGACACGATTTACATGGTTTTCAATGGGAGCAAAACTGAGTTGTCCCACCTCTGCTCATTCGCCCCCTACTGGCCAGTTTAATGAAACCCAAGAATTGGTATAAAACAATGCCCTTTTATAATATGACAACGTGGGTTAGAAAATCTGTTTGATTTTTACAGCGAACAATTATGGTCACCTGAGAAATGATCTATTTTGTATTTATATGTTTGAGAAAATAAGTATATATACACTAATACTATCATAACATATATTCATAATGTAGTGTGTTTTTATTATTATGACTTATAAATACCTTATGAAACAGTTTGTATATTTTTCTCAAGTAATAAATGCTGTGTGTACATTAAACACGTAGTAGTGTGATGTAAAAAAAAAAGTCATAAGTGTGAGAAAAGGAAAAGCATAGGAAAACTTTATATTTTTGTGTTGTTGTCAAATCAGTCCAATCTCTCATTAGGACTTCTGTCAAACTGCTTTAATTGTGCTATAATTGCATTCATTTCGAAAAACCAAAATACCATAATATATTTTAGCAGTATGATTACTTCCTGGACTATTAACCGCACCAGCTAAAATTGAGGAGAAAGTACATTCTATTCACATATAAGCCGCACTTGAATATAAGCCGCAGGTTTTCATTTTCATTTCTTATCTGATTGAGCAAAACAAAGGGATGGACGACGATCACTTTTAAATCCTATTCAACATTTTGGTAAATAATACAATAAATTCCTATTAAATCGTGATGGAGTCAAAATAATAAGTATATAAACTGCTCTGACTTTCACTTAAAAACAAGACCTAGATTTCCTTGTCTTATAGTCCAGAAAGTACTGTAGCTCCTTTGGTAAACAGTCTTCTTATCGTATATGTTTTTTTGTAATTCTGTTTATTTATTGTTGCTTATGTGATGTGTTGTGTTAAATGTATAGCATGAATTGATAAATTGAAAAACATTTGTGTGCCGTGTTTGCCTCCCCTCCTCCCCTCGCTCCACTTGCAGTCTTGTATGACTTTTTGATATTTAATGCAATTTCTTACTTTTGTCTGCATACATGTCTGGACCTGAATAAACACATGAGCAGCTCTCCTCTGTTTTCTGTCAAAGTGCACAGGCTGCGTGTAAAAGCCCGAGAAAGGCCGTGTTTCGAGGCCCAAGAATGTGGCACGGCTCCGCGATGCGCAAACAGCCGCTGCACCGAAGCAGAGCAGACAGATACATGTGGCTTCATAACAATCACCATATTCAGGAAATTCAACATTATTGGAAGTGATGCCTCAAGGAAAGGCCTGGAAAATATTTGCTTCTTAAACTGCTTTGATAACAACATGGATGAACTGTGGGAAGTCCATTCTGGGTTCATGAATTAATACAAATAGAAATCCCACTTAAGGTTAAGAAGATACAGAACGTCCTTCTCTCAGAGGTGTTCTTACATTAAACTTAGTACAGTACTTGTTGGACTATTACGCACACCTGTGTATACACCGCACCAACTACATTTGAAAAAAAGTTGTAATTTCTTTGATGGCATTCAACAACAGCATCGTTTGATGAAGTGTTTTTAACGCACTGTTGACTTGTTATGGGCAGAGCCAAAGGTAAAAGAAACTCTGAGGAGGCAAATGAGGACTCATTATTGAAGTCATGGTCAAGACCCTAGTCCAAACTGCTCATTGGTTGGCGGCCTGTAAGATGTTAAGATGGACAAGTAGATAGGTAAAGAATCAATGAAATAATGAATAGCAGACTGGATACTTATAGAAGCAGGAAGTCTTAAAGTGGTTCTCACCCCCGCTCCTCGGAGCTTACGTTACTCACATTTCCTGTTCAAATCTTCCTCTAAATGGGCGTAGCCTGGAGGACTAAAGGGGGCGTGAACGAGACTGGGCCGTTTACATTGCTCTGGGCGGGGGGCTGCTGACGTCAGGTCCAACTTGCAGACGTCAGGTCCAACTTCTGTGCCAGTGTTGGCGCCAGATTCAAAATTCAAATGTAGTAATACAGGTCGCCAGCAGATGGCGCCTCACAGACGGTTTTAGGCAGAAAGTCTAACTTTCAACTAATTTGCACCAAAGTGACAAGATTATGACCAGGATATGTAGACAACACTATTGGACACTCATTTATACCGTTTATCAGCAAAAAAAGTGGATTTGAGGGTGAGTTGTCCTTTAATGTTGAACACATGGATACAAGCATCAGGTTTTGACAATGTAGGCGATATGTGCATGCATTGTCTTTGCAGAAGCTCCTTATCTATAATCTTTGAAAGTACCAGGGAGGAGATTGAAGAGTTTTTTTTTTAAACTTATGTCCTTTTGGAGAAACCAGCTTGACTTACGCT